AAAAATAAAAAAATCCTCGTATAACGAAGCTACTCGTTTGGGCTTAAGAATGAGGTCTTCTCCTCCTCCCTTCTCCCCTCCCCCTCCCCCTCCCCCTCCCGCAATTAACAATTGCTTTGTCAGTCTTAATTGAGTTCTTGAAGTAAGTGTACGTGGTACCATTCTAATGATCCAGTCAGTAGAAACTCTTCTGTCACTCTATAATCATGAACGTAGTCAAAATATGTGTACATAGTTAGCATATGTTTACTGGACTCTATTACTCCCAGTGTGTTCAATTTGGGGAAAGGGGCAGTGGGTGTCTTCACGTACGTGGTGAATTGAGGGCCTCTGCACTGTGTACACTGCACCATCAGATTTGCTCCTAGCATCATTATAGGCATCGGGATTTGTACTTTTCATTCTTTCATGAATAGCTAGATGTGTAGTTATGTGTGTGTGTAGTTATGTGTGTGTGTAGTTATGTGTGTGTGTGTGTGTGTGTGTGTGTGTGTGTGTGTGTGTGTGTGTGTGTGTGTGTGTGCAGCATCAGATTTGCCCGTAACATCATTATAGCCATTGGTATTTGTGTGTGTGTTGGTGATTGGGGTGTGTTTGTTGTGTTGGTATGTTTTGTAATATTGTATGCATCTATTTCTGATTACTGTGTGTGGGTGATGATGTAGGTTAGGTAACAAGCTACACACACGGATCATCGGAGCTTCTGGGTGTGCAAATAGATGCCGCGATAAATCCAGGTAAACGAGAGCAGGTTGTCTTTTTACACTGTTTGCTTTCTGTGCATAGTGCAATGCATGTCTCCTGTCAATCGAAAGGTTTGGTTGCATTCCGATTGCATTCGAATTGCATTCCAATTGCATTTTGATTGCATTTCGATTGCATTTTGGTTGCATTTTGGTTGCATTTTGGTTGCATTTTGATTGCATTTCGATTGCATTTCGATTGCATTTTGATTGCATTTCGATTGCATTGATTGTGTAGGGCAACCAAGAACACATTTCGTTTGCATTGAATGATCTATTTGCATTTTGATTGCATTTGATTGCGTTGTGATTGCATCTTGAGTGAATCTTTAGTGAATCTTGAGTGCGTTGCACTGCATTCTGATTGCATCTGATTTCGTTTTGATTACGTTTTGATCATGCATGCAAGTGCACACTGCGTGGAAAATTGCGCACGTGTCCTTAGCGAGCGCACCCACTCGGTGCAGTGCACGACATGTGCGGTACACGGGGGAAATTGGCGCCCAGAAAAAGAATGGGTCGCAGGCGTGGATCACTGGTCACCTGTGACACCTGTGAAAATTTGTTGTGGGTCCAATGTGGGATGAAAAAAGTTCAAAAAACTCGAAAAAGAAAACCTAGTGGGAAAGTAACATCACCACCTAACGGTCAAGGCGATGTCCCAGACATCCTTTCTAGGCTATTTCTCATGCCCAATTGGACAAAAAGAAAAATCTGTACCACTGTACTTGAAAAGGATCTGTACCTCAGGGGGTGCACTCTTCCTTTCTTTCTTTCTTTCTTTCTTTCTTTTTTTTTTTTTTTTTTTTTTTTTTTTTTTTTTTTTTTTTTTTTTTTTTTTTTTTTTTTTTTTTTTTTTTTTTTTTTCAAAACAACACTCCCCTGTCATTGCTAGTGGTGCTGATAAGAGCAGAGACCACTAACACCTGGGGAGAGGCTCCATCTATTGGTGGGGAGCGACACCTGCTGGAAAACGAGTCCAGCTTCCCTTACATGGACAGAATTTGAACCATATCAGAAAAACAAAGACGTGGAATATTCCTGCCAGCATTGATTACCCTGGGGTCCAGGGGATTGACTGAGCAGGATGTTGGGGGGGGGGGGGGGGGGGGGGGGGGGGGGGGGGGGGGGGGGGGAGGGGGGAGCCTCTTCACCCTGAACCGGGCGCCAGATACCTGCTGTTACATCTTAGTTCCTCCCACCCCCTTTTTTGCCACAGCATTCCATGATACACTGCCAGCATTGATTGCCCTTTCTTTTTTTTTCCGGGAAGGCTCCGTCTACTGGTTGGGAGCAACACCTGCTGGAAAAGCGTCCCTTTCTGACTGTCTTCCAACCTGCCAGCATTGATTACCCTCAAGACGGGGGATTGACTGAGCAGGAGGGAGGAGGGGGTCTCTTCAGCCCTGCTGCTGGGCGCCCGAGCTATGTGACCATCTAGCCCCCTTCTTCCTGCAGTTGCAGCCTTCGCTGTGCCTATCTCTCCCTCATTGTAGTCCATACCACTGGAGGTCCACCATTGATATAGACCATGAGGCGGGAAGGGGTCAGGGAAGTCCAAGGGGGAGCGCACTCTTCTATATCTACGAAAAAAAAAAAAAAAAAAAAAAAAAAAAACTGCTGCTGGTACAGCGCACAGGCAGGTGCCGAGCCGCACGCCGTGCAGTGCACCGCACGGTTCGGCACACAGTGCATTTGTGAGTATGGTTTCGGATTAGTCTTTGATTGCATTCTGATTCCACTGTGAGAGCGTTTTGATTGCATGCATTTTTTGATTGATTACAATTTGCTTGCATTTGGAGCACCATCCAGATCACAATCCTATTCAGCGCATTGGGGGTTACTAGGGAATCTTGTTCCTATCCAATTCTTTTTCTCATCCTGACCTTTGTTTTTATCTTTTTTTTTTTTTTTTAATCATTCCACGCATCTAACTTGCCCTTACTTTCCCTTTTCTTAATCCTTGCTTTGCTTCCATCTTCATTCCACACTCCTTACTTTCCTTTACATTTCCTCAGTCTTCCTTTGATTTGTCTTCTCTCCATCTCTTCTGTGTGTTTAATACTGTTTATCCCTTCCCCCTTTACTCTGCCTCTTTCTCAAAGCGCACAAGTGGGCCGTCATGGCACATGCAGATGCCGGCAGCTCGAGCTCAACTTTCTCAACGTGGCGAGAAAGATGCATTGATGTACCAAAGCCTCGTCCGTGAGAAAGTCACCATAGTGAAGGCGGAGTTAAAATAAGAGTGATCAAAATGAATGGCTCCAGCATGCTCTTCATGTCTGTCCTGTCCTGTGTATTTTTATCATACTTGCGGCGCACTTCTGCGGTGCGCCGTGTGGTGCGCGTGCGCCATGCACCATGCGCAAATTAGTGATGTGCGGATCATGCGCCCAATTTTTTTTTTTTTTTTTTTTTTTTTTTTT